GTCATGGGAGTAGATCCTGTGTCCACAGGGCGACCAGGGGGTGGGGGTGGGGAGTGTCTGACCGCAGAGCTTTGATCTAGGATGTCCAACGGGTTGCCAGCCTCTCGCCCGGCCGCACTCCTGCCACATCCACGTCGGCTCTCTGAGCACGAGTAGAATTTCCTGAAACACCTTAGGGGAGAGAAGGGAGATTAAATGCCCCTCTCCCTGGGTTGTGGTTTGATTTCCTTAGGACACAACACCAAGGTCGGGAGGTGGGCGGGAGAGAATGCGCTCCGAGAAAAGTCAAGGCGGGGCCCAAAGCCAAGAAAGTGAGGGGTTAATGAAGCAAGCAACGGCATTACAATTACATGCACTCTTAGGCTGATCTGATATTGAACAGTATTTGTTATGGATGTCCGCTAAGCAAATGGTAATGCACGTATGTGCCTTTGTAACTGGTTTACTTTTAAAATTCTTTTCTCTTTTTTTTTGAGAAACATCCATTTGTTCCACTTATTTATGCATTCATGGGTTGCTTCTTGTGTGTGCCCTGACTTGGGCTTGAGCTGGCATCCTTGGCTTGTCAAGTCAATGCCCTAACCAACTGAGCTACCTAGCCACGACTCTGTCATCGGTTTATACACATTACGGAGCTAACTACGTTTTGTTGATTATCTAATAAGTCCCAAAGGAAACTAAAGGTCTGGGCCTCCTCTTTGCAGTCACTGGGGACCCTGAGGTGAGTGAGATGGCATTAGGAACAAGTGCCTTTCAAACTGTGAGAGAACCTAACGCAAAATGTGCTCTCTGCGAGGTCCCATTTCTTTCCAGGTGGTGCATCTACCTGTTGTCTGTGGTGTGAATGCCACTTTTCCCAGAGACCCTGACCGAGTCCATTTGAAAGGAAGGACCCCAAATCAAGATTAAAGATGAGAGCTAAAGCAGTGGGAGAAGAGGAGGAAACTTCCTGCCGTGTGCTAGGCACTGCTTTTTTTTTTTTTTAAATAACCATTATTCAGTACTTGTTTTTTTAAAATATATTTTATTGATTTGTTTTTACAGAGAGGAAGGGAGAGGGATAGAGAGTTAGAAACATCGATGAGAGAGAAACATCGATCAGCTGCCTCCCGCACACCTCCTACCCGGGATGTGCCCGCAACCAAGGTACATGCCCTTGACCGGAATCCAACCTGGGACCCTTCAGTCCACAGGCCGATGCTCTATCCACTGAGCAACACCGGTTAGGGCTAGGCACTACTTTTTATATAATTTCCGTTTGCTCTTCTGCAAAATAGAATTGCATATTTAATAATTGTAAGAAAAAGAAGTGAAGCGCTGAGTCAGGTTTCAATCTTTTGTCCTCTGCATCCACAACCCTAGCTCCTTTTTCCACCGTGTCACGTCTAGAAGAGAAACAAAACCTTAGCCCCTAAGCGTGTTCTCCCGGTCAAGGAAAACTGGAACCCGGGGAGCCCCCTGGTGGCCTATTTTTCTCCCTGCGGAGCCCGTCCGTTCCCAGTCTCCTTTAATACCTGAAATACGCCCCCTTCCCGGCGCGTGAATCTCGAGTCCCGATTGGCTGGGCGGGGGCCAGTGGCGGGACGTGGGGGTGCGCCAGAGCGGCGCTCATTGGTCAGAGGAGGCCAGGGGACACTTCCGGGAATGCCCGCACTCCCGCGTTCCATTGAGCTGCATCCGGCGGCCGCGGGGGCCGGTGGCTCCCCCTGCGGGCGGCTCAGCAGCATACACCGCCGTCTGCCTGGGTGGGTGGTGGGCAAGGGTGGGGGAGGGGAGGGACCGAGCCCCGAGTGGTGCGGGTGCGGGTTCGGGAAGGTTTAGAAACTAAGATTCTATTCCCTGGCCCTGCACCGGCTTCCCTCACCTCCTCTCCGTCGGTTCCCACACCTCGGGGCTTGAGACTGAAAGAGCATCCCGGGAAGGGGCATTCCAGCCGCCTATTCAGAGATCCCCCCAAAACCTGATCTTGAAGTTGGAGGCCCCCGGGAAAGTTCATTTCTAACCTTTCAGAAGAGCGAGAGGGTTTGAGGCTGCCTGACCCCAGGCGAGTGTGGTAGGTGGACCTTGGGCAGTGGAGCATGGGGGCGAAGGCTCCGGGCGATGAGCCTTCATCCCCTTTTCCTCCTTCCAGTGGGGTTCCGAGGCTCAGGCAGCATGACGACGGAGACCTTCGTGAAGGATATCAAGCCCGGGCTCAAGAATCTGAACCTCATCTTCATTGTGCTGGAGACAGGTGGCTATGCTGGGGCCGGGGACCCCCTGTGGGGGTTCTCAGGGTTGGGGGGCAGAAAGGGAAGAACATAACCTCCGTTCTTAATTTGCTCCGGGCGTGGCAGGGTGCACCCCAAAACATGGCTCACGCCCAGTCGCTCTCCTAGACCCCAGCCCAGGGAGTTGCCCTGAAATGTAGGGTACATGCAACTCCTGCCAGATCCAAGCCTCCTGTATCTCAGGGGCCTCTTTCGGCTCAGCACCCTCGCCAGGGCGCCGGCTCCTCCACTCCCCACCCCCTCCCCAGCCTGCCCCAGAGATTTAGCTTTGCCCTGTTTGCACTTTCCCCTCACCCCCACCAATATGTCGATATATCTAGATCTCATCCTTCTGACCACCCCCCACTCTGTTTATCTGTTCCCTCCAGGCAGAGTGACCAAGACAAAGGACGGTCACGAAGTTCGGACCTGCAAAGTGGCAGACAAAACGGGCAGCATCAATATCTCCGTCTGGGACGACGTGGGCAACCTGATCCAGCCTGGGGACATTATCCGGCTCACCAAAGGGTAAGCCAGCTGGTGCCTACTGGCTATCCCAGGGCAGTCGCAGTCAAGGGGGGGCGGGTTTAACCGTCCCTGTAACTCTTCTGAGTACTCCGAATCCTGCATTTTGTGCCCCCACAGGTACGCTTCAGTGTTCAAAGGTTGTCTGACATTGTACACTGGTCGTGGGGGTGATCTTCAGAAGATTGGAGAGTAAGTGCTCTTGGGTTTTGGGATGTAGAAGCAGCAGGCCAAGAGGGGAAATTTAAGGTTTGCAAGAAGGCAGCATGAGGGTGTGCAGTCCATGTCCTATACTGGAGGCCTCTGGCACTGGCCCAGAGGATGGGTCTGAAGCTTTGACCACTTTCTCTCCTTACAGATTCTGTATGGTTTATTCTGAGGTTCCTAACTTCAGTGAGCCAAACCCAGAGTACAGTGCCCAGCAAGCACCCAACAAGACGGTGAGTCCCATGGCCATGATGTGGGGGTGGGCAGGGCAGGCGGAGAAGCATGGTAGGAAGAAAGGTCTGAGTTTAATTTGTACCTTCAGGTGCAGAACGACAGCAGCCCTGCAGCTCCCCAGCCTACCACTGGACCCCCTGCTGTTTCTCCAGGTAAACCTGTTTCCTTCCATACACGGGTCCACCTAGTTCCCCTACTCTCCCCAGCCTGGAGAGGTGACCAGCCTTATCCCTTTCCCAAATCTCTCTTCTCTGTATACCTCCCCTCCCCTCTTGCACCCAATTCTTCTCCCAGTTCTTTTGCAAATCCCTGTGGTGAAAAGATCTGGTTGGGGACCTGTTTCTGTGACTGGTAGAGCCCTTAGCACCCTGTTGCCACTACCGCTCAAAGGCAAAGATGGGAACAGTTTGTCCACAAAGACTGTCCCCCTTCATTCTGGCTTGTCTTCCTCTGCTTCTCTTTTGGCAGAACCTGCCCCTTTCTCTTGCTCGTTTTGATTTGTTACCCAGTTCTAATACACAGCATTTCTTGTATGACTCATCATAGAGCACACTCTGCACAGCTTTTGAAACCAATGGCCCCGCTGCCCCTCTCGGCCTTGGGATTATGATTCTTCCATCTCATGTACTTCAAGCCCCTGCTTTCTGGTCTCTTGAGGAATTGGGACCTTACTGCGCATCATCAGCGTTTAATTAGAATCATCCCCAAACACACCTCCTTCGTCTGGTGGTGGTTTCTCCTCAGGAAGCTGGCTTTTACTGCTCTTCTCCTTCTGGAGCATCTCTCAGCCGACCCTCCTGCTCCCTGAGTGTTTGGCTCTATCTTGCCTCCGATCCATGCCTTAGGTTTCTCCCTGTGACACTGGCTTCAGGCTGCCTCAGCCCTTCCCCAGTTTGTGTCTGCATCCCCAGTTACCATGGTTTTTCAGAATTGTTTGTGTCAGAACCACCAGGAGTCATGTGTTTTTTTAGAAACACTATGAAATAGCAACATTTAATTCCACCACAAAAATTAACATGGGGGGGTTAACATCCATGTTTTTAACTGAAAATATGACTATTACATATTTCCAGGTCTCCATTTTAGTGATGGTACATTTAAGCCCGTTTACCCTGGTATTCTTGGCCAGATGTTTATCCACTTTGTCCTCTGCCAGTAGATACAAAAGGCTTAAAAAACACATCTGGCATTAAAACTTACCTTTGACTTTCTATACACTCTCTACATTCCAAATTTTTTCTGTGAATCGAGGAAAGGGCGTTATTTTTTCAGTTCTGGCTGCAGATATCTTAGTCTGGTAGAGTAGGGTTCAACAGGAATGTGGTCTGAGAAGCACTAGCCTATAACTTCTACCCCATTAGCGTTCACAGTGCCCTAGTACGTGAGAGGCAGACGTCTGCCTTCATTTAACAAACTTTATAGATGAGGGATGCCAAGGAATAAATAAAACAGCACCTGCCTTTAGGAGCTTGTAGTCTATGAAGGAGATGGTTGCCAGTGTGGCTCAGTGTTTGAGCGTCAACCTATGCACCAGGAGGTCACGGTTCAATTCCCAGTCAGGGCACATGCCTGGGTTGTGAGCTCAATCCCCGGTAGGGGGCATGCAGGAGGCAACCAATCAATGATTCTCTCTCACCACTGATGTTTCTATCTCTCTCTCCCTCTTCCCTTCCTCTCTGAAATCAATAAAAATATATTTAGGAAAAAGGGAAACAAAGGGGAGCATACATATTACCTTGGTTGCGGGCACATCCCCAGTAGGAGGTGTGCAGGAGGCAGCTGGTCGATGTTCCTCTCTCATCGATGTTTCTAGCTCTCTATCCCTCTCCTTCCGCTCTGTGAAAAATCAATAAAACATATTTAAATATATATATATATTTTGAAAAAAAAGGAGATAGTCACACAGACGATGATTATAATACACCATGAGTGCAAGAACAGTGCTATGCACAGCTGTGGGAGCACCAGGGAGTCATCTCACACCTGCTGTAATCACACATTTAAAATGCACACGCGCGCACGCACACACACACACACACACACACACGTTATTTATTAGTGAAGAGGGGTGGGGTGAGAGAATGTGTAAGAATTTTTTTCCTTATTCTCATCTGTATTTTCCAAAATGAACATGTGTCATTGTGATACACACCAGGCCTTTTTAACACACACACACACACACACACACACGAAAGTTTATTTAGAAAGTTACAGCGGTAGAAGTGAGTTGTAGAAGAAAAGAGCTGAAGAAACAAGTTACAGAGGCAAAGAAGGGCTTTGGAGCTTAGTAAAGGACACTCGATAAGAAGATTCAAAGAAGATTCGATCGGGTGGCTCTGTGGGGAGAGAGTGCGGGGTTTATTGTGTTGTTTTATTTTCCTTAAAGATCCTTCTTATAACACAGAAACTTCAGGCCCTTCCCCTTCCCATACTTTTCCAGTTTCACAGTCACTTTTGGTACAGGGGCATTTTGTCAGAGGTCCTTGAGCCTAGAACTAAATAGCTAATTCTAGGTCTGACTCCCAATGATATAAGATGAATCAAAGAGGAAAATATCATACTAGAGTTCATGTAGCAACTTCTAAACTGACAGAGTCTTTCCTGGGGCTCCATTCATACAACCCATATTCTTTGCACTTGGTCCAGTTGCCATTAATGTGCAGCTGTGCTGGTGAAATACTGTGCGGTTCTCTGGGGGATGGGAGGAGGCCCTGGGGACGCAGCCTCTCCCACCTTAGTTCTCTAATTTCTGTGTTTCTTCCCCTTCTCCCACAACCAGCCTCTGAGAGCCAGAACGGGAATGGACTGAGCGCCCCCCCAGGCCCTGGCGGTGGCCCGCACCCCCCTCACGCTCCTTCCCACCCGCCCAGCACCCGGATCACCCGAAGCCAACCCAACCACACACCTGCCGGCCCTCCTGGCCCCTCCAACAACCCTGTCAGTAACGGCAAAGAGACCCGGAGAAGCAGCAAGAGATAGCAAGACGTTCTTCCTCCCTCCCCACCACCGGCCATACCCCAAGTGTCTGCTAGAGAACACAGCCTCTCCCGGGCTGCTGGCTTGGGGGTGGGAAGGGATAGGTAGCAATATTTTAGCCACTAAACTTCCCTAAAGGGGTGGTTAGAAGCGGCCTTATCCACCCTACACCCATACTCACCCCTGTACCCAGCTGAAGCTGCCTGTGCCCTGGGATGAGGGTCCCTGCCTGCCCTTCTTCCTCTTCAGAAACGCGTCATGGTCTGTTTCTTGTACGTGTGTGATGTGGAAATCTAACTGAATCCCTTCTTCCCAATAAATGTTACTACTCCGTACTGGACTCCTTTGCTTTTTGTGGGGAAATGACAAGGTTAGCAGCTGAGCATTTGGGAAACGCCCTCGGAGGTGGAGAGGAGACAGGTTACCCCGGCAAGGAGGCCCAGGCAAAGCAGGCCTGCCCCTTTAAGGTAGTGTCCCTCCCCTGCCCCCTCCCTGCAGGTGACCCTTGCCCGCCTGCCTGTCTACCCCCCTCACAGCTGGAACCTAGACGGCTGTGTCCCCCTTCCTCTGGGCGTCCTTTCTGTCTCCTGTATCAGGTAATACCAACCTCGACCCCTTGGACCACTCACCCCAGTCAGGCTGCTCCCCCGATTCTGAGCGGGTCAGACATCAGCGGGAGCCGAAATACTCCTTCCCTCCTCCCCACAGAGCTTCCCCAACTTGGTCATTGATTCCCAGAGCTCGGGCTCTTACTATCTGGGGTGGGGAATTCCCAAAAACAATGCCTCTCCTATGCACGTGGGTTGCCACTTAATCTGCTTCTTCGCCCTCCTCTCCAGTTTGGGAACAGCTGGGTCCAGCTTCCCCCGGAACGTGGGGATGGGGTGGCGATGGGTGAAGCCCAGTGTAGGGTGGGGGGTGAGAGTGTCTGCAGGGAAAGGCTAAGACAGTACCAACTGGGTTAGAGGGTAGAGTACTTAGAAGAAAAGACCAGGCCTAGATTCTCCTTAGCCATGTGGCTTTTCCAGGGGCAGAGGGTGGCCCCTCCCTACTGGGGGCCCTAGCAGAGACTGACCTTTGACCCCATCCGAGAGACCAGTGAACCATTAACTCCTCTACCATGTGAGCCTTCCCACACTTGCCCCACCCCTGGCCCCGCCCCGAGGCAGGTGGGCTAAGGGGGGGGCTTGTCCATCCCAGCCTTCCATCTGACGTGGCCTCCATTCCACCTGGGAGCCTGGAGGCTCCCCTCCCTGACCCAGGAACCTCTTAGTGTCCACAAGGCCTGACGCGACCAAAGGTGACGAGGTTCTTCTGGCAGTGGAGGTGAGGTTCTGGGGGCTGGCGGGGGAGACAGAGGCGGGGGGGCGTTTAGGGGACGGAATAGGCTGTCAGCTCTGGGCCAGGTGAGGCGACACTGTGAGTCAAAGAAGGTGTTCCAGGAACTGGCAAAGGAGAGGAGACTGCTCCAGCTGGAGGCCATGGGAGGGAGAGGGGAGGCTAGAGGGGGGCTGCTGCTGAATTTAATGTGGGGGCTGCACGAGAAGTGAGGGGTCCCCTCTGGCCCTGAGCGGAGCAGCAGGGCAGGAGCACTGACCCTTCCTCCTTGCTCTTCCAGGGCACAGTCCTCAGGATGTTCCGGGGGGAATAGAAGGTAGAACCAGAGCCTCTTACCAGTTCCTCCCAACAATGGGGCTCCCGACCAGTCACCTGCTGGCTGGCCTCTGTGTGTGTGCGGCCTTGAGCTGGGGAGGGGGGTCAGCCCCCAACCTGGGCCCTGCTGAGCTGGAGCAGAACCATTACCTGGCCCAGCTGTTTGACCTGTACGGGGAGAATGGCACGCTGACTGCAGGGGGCCTGGCCAGGCTTCTGCACAGCCTGGGGCTAGGCCAAGTTCAGGGGCTGCGCCTGGGACAGCACGGGCCTCCAGCTGGCCGGCCTGCACCCCCAGCAAGAGACAACGCCACACACAGGTACTAACCCTTCGCCCCAGCCCCAAATCCCGCATCCCAGCTCTTTTTAGTGCTCAGATCCCTCTCCTGTTGTCTACTTCTGGTTCCTAAAGTAAGGGTTCTGAGATTACAGATTGTTCAAAAACTGACTCCTTGTATCCCCTTCAAGGCTTCTTTTGCCTCTGTTGCCTTCTCATTCTCTCCTTTTCCAAATCCCTGTGCCCTTCGATTCCTTGCTTTTAGTCCCAAAGCTCAATATCTCCAGGCTGACCTGACTCCCAATTTGTAGCATTTTTGGCTGTTCCCTGACTCCTATTTCCTCTCACACCCATGCCCCATATTCCTATAAGCTGACAATTCTCAGGTCCTCCCAGGACTGACATTTTATGGTTTCTGGGTGTCAGGAACTCCAGCCAGTGCCTGGTCTTCCCTCTTCCTCTAAGCTCCCTGGTAGCCTCTCAAGTGGGACTTCTCAGAGAACATGGGCATCTGACTTGCTTTTTTCTTTAAAGCCTCACCCGAGGATATTTTTTTCATTGGTTTTTAGAGAGCATGGAAGGGAGTGAGAGAGAAACATCAATGTGAGAGACACATCGATGGGTTGCCTCTTGCACTTGCCCCGACCAGGCCGGGGATCAAAGCCTGCAACCCAGATACATACCCTTGACCAGGAATCGAACCTGAGCCAGCCCCTTCCGTCCCAGGCTGACCCCTAACCACTGAGCCAAACTGGCCAGGGCTGGCCATCTGACTTTCTATCCCATCCATCTAGGCCTCAGGACCCCAAATTGAATGTGGATGTCTGGTCAGAGCTGCCTCTGGGTCCCTCAGGGTGGGGTGACCTTGAGGAGCCAAAGGCCCCCCACCCACCCCATGGGCCAGCCCCCTCGGGCCTGGACCTGTTTCACAGGCTTCTGTTGCTGGACCATTCGCTGGCTGACCATCGGAATGAGGATGTGAGTCTGATGCTCTCTGGAGAAGGGGAAGGAGCCATGGGATTTAGATGGCATGAAATATTTAAAGAGTCAGTAACTTAAAAAAAAATTTATTTAGTGATTTTAGAAACATCGATTTGTTGTTCCACTTTTTTTTTCATCATCATTTATCCCCTCAATGCCCTCTTCCACCTCCACTCACCCCACCTCCACCCTGTTTCACCTATTTAATGCACTCATTGGTTGATTCTTGCATGTGCTCTGACTGGGGATCGAACCTACAACCTTGGTGTATTGGGATGACACTCTAAACAACTAGCTACCCAGCCAGGGATAACGAGTCAGTAATTTAATACAGTTCCTTTTTTAAAAATCCAGATGTGATCTTTTTTGTTGTTGTTAATCCTCACTCAAGGATATTTTCCATTGATTTTTCGAAAGAGTGGGAGAGAGAGGGTGGGAGAGAGAAACATCCATCAATGTGAGAGACACATCGATTGGTTGCTTCCCACATGCCCCCCCGCCCCCCATCTGTGCTGAGAATCAAACCCAAGACCCTTTGGTTTCAGGGCTGACTCTCTAACAACTGAGCTACACTGGCCAGGACAACCCAGATGTGGGCTTAGGGCAGGCGATCCCGGTTAGGTGTCACACTTGAGCAACCAGAGAAGCAGCCCAGGGTAGGCTGTGGGGCTGGCTATCTGGAGAGGAGACCCGCAGAGAGCTCACAGCTGTCCTCACCCGGAAAAGACAGAGAACTTGTTCCACATACACCAGAGGGCAGCCAGAGCTAACCCGAGGCAGGCCTGGCGAGGGTGAGCACCCACAGAGGGAGCACTCGAGCCAAGGCTGGGTAAACAGGTGACAGGGCTGCTGAGGGGAAGGTTTGATGGCTTTATAGGTTTTTTCCTTCTAAGAATCTGGACTGGAGAATTCTAGTTGTCCAACCAACTCCATGATTAAATCAGTGAAATCATCAGGTGCTCGGGAGGGAGGAAAATGGTGGCACTGTTCACTAGCAGCCAATCTGCGTTGAATTGAATATTTGCATCGGACTATTTGAATATTCACTAATTGACACATACTGAGTACCTGGCCCGGTTCCCCAGTCCCTCCCTGATGCACGGGGGAGGGGGGGCGCCTGGGAGAGACCCAGGAGTCCAGGTGGTGGAAGGGCAGATCGTAGTCACCGTTGAATGTGCCTCCCGACTCAACTCCCCTAGTGTCTGAATGGCTCCCAGCTGCTGGTCAACTTTGGCCTGAGCCCCGCTGCTCCTCTGACCCCGCGGCAGTTCGCTCTGCTATGCCCAGCCCTGCTTTACCAGATCGACAGCCGTGTCTGCATCCAGGCCCCCGTTCCAACCCCACCAGGGGATCTACTATCTGGTCAGTGAGTGAGAGTGGGTGGCGGGGGGCACCCTCAATCCTGGTAGGGAGTGGGTTCCATGCCAAGGAAGGGGTTCATTGGGGTACTGCCTCCCCTTGCAGTGTATCTTTGCCTCTTAGCCCCCGTCCCCCGATTTTCCAGCCCTGGCTCACAGCGCCCTGGCGGTCCTGCTGCTCAGCCTCCCCACACCCCTGTCACTGCTGCTGCTTCGCCTCCTGGGATCTCGTCTATTGCGGCCCCTGCTGGGCTTCCTGGGGGCCCTGGCCGTGGGCACCCTTTGTGGGGATGCGCTGCTACACCTGCTGCCACATGTACGTGGATCCCCTTCCTTATTCCCCTGCCCCCATTGGCGGACGGCCCCTCATATCCAGGTGTTCCCAGTCACAGGACATCCCTCCCCGTCAGCCCACAGCTGCTTTCTGGTAGAATGGGAGTGAAGGCTGCCACCTCACACCCAGCGGGGGGATGGTGCCAGGTGCAGGGGTTTCTGGGTCTGCCCTGACCTCCTCTCTGTCAGGCACAAGGAGGGCATCACTCCGGACCTAGCGGGCGACCAGAGGAAGACCTGGGTCCAGGGCTGTCGGTACTTGGCGGTCTCTTTCTGCTCTTCTTGCTGGAGAACATGCTAGGGATTTTGCGGCGCCGAGGGCTCAGGCCAGTGAGTGAGACTCTTTTTTCCTCCTCCTACTGAGATCAGAGTCCCAGCCAAGAACTGGCCACAGGAACCAGAAGGTGAGGGGCTGAGTGTGCCCCTGGCTTTGCCATTTGCCTGACTGCAGGCCCTGACTGCTCACGGAATGGGCGGGCTCCCTCAGCATAGGCTCAGGACTCTGTCTGGCCCAATAGCTTCCTCTCCTGAGTTCAAGGCAACAGCAGGGAGATGCCAAACTGGGAAGAGAGCAGAGGCCAAAAAAATTCCCCAAGTGCCAAAAACAGAGCCAGGTGTTCATTTTCCCAGCCGGTAGCCTGGCTCTCCTTAGCCCCCAGCTCTGCTGCCTCCTCCACCAGGAGGGATACCCTCCTATTTTAGAGATGCTGCAGGCGAAAAAGGGAGGATCTCA